CAACAGATATAAGCATACAGTCAGGCATATCCGGGTACTGACCTACCCTTAGGTCCTAAGGACCACTGTCAGGGAAACTAATCCCTACCGTACACATAACATACTACCCAGATAAACCTCATAACCAACACATAACCAGACTGAGATAATTATCACAATGACCATTATATTCTAAATACCCCTTTTTGGTGGGCCGACATTGTGGCCTTAGACCCATCCCTACTGGAAGGTAACTCACTTCAATGTCGTGCAGTGTCTGAACTATCCTCGGTGCACAACTTGACTCCCTACGACTCCTCGATCCCTACACGACAACCTTCAAGTCCACACACATCACATACAACCCTAACCAGGGTCAGTCCAAGTCAAGTCAAAGTCAACATTGGTCAAAGTAAACATTTAGTTCACCTGACTCGCCGAGTTGGCCTACCAACTCGTCGAGTCCATGCTTCTCTAATCCCACACAAAACCCCGGCTCCACTCGTCGAGTGTAGCAAAAACTCAACGGGTTCTCCTTCAATCATAACATCGGGACCATCTTCATCCGACTCGCCAAGTTCCTTCTTGAACTCGTCGAGTTCATCTCCAACTTAAGAACTTGTCTAGTCTATGAATCGCCGAGTTGTATGAACAACTCGTCGAGTCCATCTTCAAAGATTGGGAGTTTGTTATGGACTCGCCGAGTCTGCTCATACCACTCGCTGAGTCCCATGGCTTCCAGGTCGTTTTTCGAGTCTAAACCCACAAGGGACTTCCTTCCTAACACTTACCCATTCACCGAAAGGGTTTGTTGCACAATGGTCACCGACTCGTCGAGTGCCAAGAACAACTCGCCGAGTCCAACCTTGACCAATTCCATACAGTCGATTTAATTGAGGTCTAACACACAAAAACCATAGATCTGGCCTCCTAATGTCCATTTTCTACGTAAAGTTCCAAACTTGATGCACATGCATGGGGTTTTTAGCTCAAAAATCCATATAAAGTGTCCTACAATGTGCATGGGGCTCTCATGGCCCTAAAGTTGGCATCTTTATGCCATGAGACCCCTCTTAAGGCCTAGATCTGAAGTCAAAACTCACTCAACACTTTCAAATCCGAAAAATGACTTAGAAATCCATGGAGATCCCAAGTTAAAGATGAATAAACACATAGATGAGTCAAGACAGGGGCATTATACGTTGAAGCTGCTGAAAATGAAGTAAGATCTCCGGATCTAAAAGCCCCAACTCGATTTCCTAGCTCCTTTCTTCCTTCCAAGCTTTACAATCCATACAAGAACACCAAAAATGGCCTTAACTTACACACAAACAGCTAGGGTTCGATATGAAGCTTTCAAGAGAGTGTTAGCAACAAGGGAGGATGAGTTAAGTTGTTTATATAGGATGCAAACCCTCAGATTTAGGGTTTCACTTAACCAGCAACTACTCGCCAAGTCAGTCTCCCAACTCTTCGAGTCGGTCACTTAAAATGTCCGCAGCCACGTCCCTACTCAACGAGTTGATCCTCCAACTCATCAAGTCCTAGAGAAAAATACATATACTGAAGAAAACATACCAGGTGTTACATAATCGACTTTTATTTGAAGTATGGTGAACCACAGTACTTGACATGGAGTGCACAGAAGATTATCACTGTGAAGGTACTTAAACCCTTGCTTGCTGAGAAGTTCGTAAATGTTAATTTCAAAATCAAACAAGGATTAACAAACTCGCTGTTGATTATTTCTCTACCAAATCTTCTGAATTTAAATCCTCACGACTGGATTCTTTTGTTTAATATTCTGCTCACTAATCCGAAAGAATATGAGCCGATACTAGATCACTTGAAGAGGATGTTGGCTTCCTACATCCACAAGGTTGCTGCTGTGGATCAGGAGATATCGAAAGTAATGAACAAGAAACCAACTGCCAAGCCAGCACCAAAACCAGGAGATGTGAAAAAAATGAAAATGGGCCAAATAAATTCTACACATCTCATTTTGATGTTTACAAAAGGCGAAGCTCACATATTTCTGTTTGCTCTTGTTGATAAACATCTGTTTTCAACAGACTGCTTGGAGCACATTATCAACATTATTCATCGATGTAAGCAGAACTCGGATGCAGATAAGAAGAACTTCACAGACATGCTGCGGTGGTACATAAAGTTTCGACATCATCTGTTGGCCATCATACCGAAGGTGTTCAAAACAGTAAAGAAGTTCTTTGTAGCTCAACCGAAGTGAGCTTTCGGCTCCATTGATGCAAAGGGGGAGACTGTTGAGTTTAATTGTGTTGCGTCATGGGTTTGTATTTTGTATCCGGATTGGTCCTGTCCATTCGTCATTATCTAGTAGGGTTATACTATAAATATGCATGCATGTATGCATTAGAACCAATAGAGTTTTTACGTTTAGTATTTTTGTAACCCTAAACACCTCTACAGTCGAAGTTCTTAATCGAGCTCTTCTGAGGTGTTGAAGCATTAATCATATGACACATTCAAAGCCATTCTCGTGTTCATAATTACGTTCTTAATTGTTTGTCTACATAGAATCTAACGATCCTGATTGGACTTTGATTCATCAGGGCTGTTTGGCAGGATCTGAATTTTTACGATCTGAATTTTTAAGAGATCTGAATTTCTAAGAGGGTCTGAATTTTTAAGATCTGAATTTTTAAAATGTTGTTTGGTTGGAACCTCTGAATTGCTGTGCTGAATTATCAAAATGACCATTATACCCTTTTTTATTATTTTTTGTTGAATAATTAAAAAAATATATATAACACCATATAAAATGCAAATTAACATAAATTAAAATTTATCTTCAATAGTTTATAATGATCTTTTTGAGATATATTTACAAAAATAACATCATTTTTTATATATCCCAAGGATTTCAAAGTTAAAAAACAAAATATTTGACATTGAATGTTGAGATATAAATGACAACAAACTTGCAACCGACTTTTCAAAGTATGTTGCAACCTACAAATCCAAATTCAACAAGGAAACAAATAAACACTTTAAACATATATATATATATATATATATATATATATATATATATATATATATATATATATATATATATATATATATATATATGTTTAAAGTGTTTATTTGTTTCCTTGTACCAACTTTTCAAAGTATGTTTCTAGAATCGATAATCTATCAAAATCTCCAATTGTTATCAGTTGTATAAACTACAATATTAACCAACGAAATTACCATTTTGTATTATTTTTCAGTGAATTCAAATGCTTGTTTATATAAAAACCGAAACAATTTATTAAATATTTATTAAAAAAACCTAAGCATCATATAAAATCCAAATTGAACATACATCAAAATGAACACAAATCCAAATAAAACATAAATATTTTCAAATCCTAAAAGTTATATTGAAATCCAAATGAACCCTACAAGCACATCATCACATCAACACATATGATATGAGCTATGATTTTAAATAAAAAAAATAAGCATCATATCATATTTTCGTGTCCATACATTACCACATCAGATTTCAACATTAATACATCAAGAAAAGGTATTTCAGGAAAAAATTACCAAAACAACCATGATATTGCATTTGCCATCTCTGCTCAAAGGATATGTAATCAAAACTCCTCAATTCCAAATTGAAATCATCAATCTTTATATCAATTTAGTGTCACTTTAAATAAAAACATGCTTCTTGAAAACAATTTGAGTAAAACAGAACAGTGGATCAATTTGTTTGAACGACATATTTGACAATGGAGATTTCAGCAAAAAAATCACCAAATGCTAGCAACAATTACATGTTAATTATCGATTTCAGCAAGAAAATATTGATTTCATTCGGAAATTGTCGATTTCATCGTATTTGGGGAGAGAAAAAAAGGAAAAAAATAAAAAACGATACATACGTGAAGCCGACCTCTTATGTGCGACAGTGGCGCCGTATGCGTGGGAGGCTAGCACCGAAGGTATGGGAGGGTGGTGTTGGAGATCTGAAGGGCAGCGATGGCAGCGGCTGATGGAGGTGGAGCGTATGGTGGCAAAATATTGCAGGTAATCGGAGTGTGTTAGGAGGGAAGAGGGGTCGGTTGTATGAAATAGAAAAGAGAAGAGGGAAGTCACTTAGGGCAAAATAGGAGGACACGTCTCTTTTTCTTTTTCAGATACGGTCTCATGTCAGAAATATTAAGAGGCTTTTGAATTATTAAGAGGCAGAAAATAAGATGCTAACAAACGGGCTGAATCTGAATTTTTAAGAGGATGCTTCTTAATTTGCCAATTAAGAGACAGACAAACAACCCCTTAGGCTTTTTATGCTGGTAACCCATATATATTCCCTAAGCCGTGGAATGTTTAGCTACGACTAGTTTAACAACGGCCACCGGGAAGAAACATTTTGTCCAACAGGGAAGATGGAACAAAATGAAGTGATATTTTGATTTGAACATAAGCCGATCGTAGTGATTTATGAGGAAAGTGGCGTATTTATAACTACCATTTAGCCTTTGTAACTTGAATGTCATGCAGTCAAGAATTTATATATGTAGAATCGTTGGAGTATAATTTTACCCCACACCATAATATAAGCAAGATTGTTGTATTATAATTTTTCCCCAAAGAAATTTCTCTTGCATTATAATAATGTAAACAAGAAACGGCATCTAAATTACTAGAGTTATCAAATTGAATAATCCCAGTGAGTTCCTATAATTAATATCTTGCTCGGATAAAACAAATTAACAAATGACAAATTGCATCCGCCATCATGTGCAGCAGTGCGACTAAAATTTTTGGAGGGACAACTTGATTATAGTCAACGGTTTTAATGGTTATGATAATGATCTTTTAGTCAAGGGTAATATTGGTACACGATTTTAAGCAAACAGGGTTCTATCTATATAAACATAAACCACGAATCTACTTCTCTACAATACATATATAATCACCACGCTTTAGTCCATTCTTTTTAAGTTTCTTTGTTGTTCAATATCATCACCAATATCAACAATACCATGTCATCTTCAGATGTAAACCTAGAAAAATACAGAATTCCACTCGAGGAGATCCTTCTTGTCACAAGAGACTTCAGTCCAGAAACTCTCATCGGAGATGGTGGATTCGGTATGGTACACAAAGGAGAACTCTCTAAAGACGGGCAAACACACACAGTAGCCATCAAACGTCTCAATAAAGATGGTTATCAAGGAAACAACGAGTTTCGTAATGAACTTAAGATGGTTTCCAGTTTCCATCATCCAAACATCATCACTTTCATTGGCTACTGTGACGAGGCCAATGAGATGATCCTAGTTTACGAATATGCAAAGAATGGAAGCCTTGATCATCATCTCCAAAAGCCAGAAAAGATGCGTAGCTTAACATGGGCACAACGTTTAAAGATTTGCTTAGGTGCAGCAAAAGGGCTCGAGTATCTTCACTCAGGTCTTGGGGAGCACAATAGAGTAATTCACAGAGATGTGAAGAGTGGAAATATTCTATTAGATGAGAATCTTGAAGCCAAAATCTGTGATTTTGGTTTGTCAAAATTTGGTGCAAGAAATCAGGAAGATACTCAAGTTCACACAAAGGTTGCGGGTACAAGGTATTACATGGATCCACTTTACGCTGAAAGAAGCAGACTTAAGAAAGAGTCAGACGTGTACTCATTTGGAGTGGTTATGTTTGAAATGTCGAGTGGGACATTGGTATTTCATCCAAAGTACTTTGGAGATAATATTAACCCACAATTTCTCCTTGATGTGGTCCGAAGCTGCTATGATGATGACAAAAAGGCTACTGGAGCAGATAAATTAATTGATCCTCTTGTAGGAGATCATATTGATATGAAGTCTTTTCATGTATTTAACAAAATTGCACATGAGTGCATTAGCCTGAAGTTAGAGGAACGACCGACGATGGATCGGATCATCCGGAGGATTCAGCGAGCACTTCATATTACTCAATTAGTACGTCTCTTCATCTAATCATTTTTAAGAAATAAATTCTGATATATATATATATATATATATATATATATATATATATATATATATATATATATATATATATATATATATATATATATATATATATATTAGAAATACCTACCATTAAGTATTAAGTATTTAAAACTAAGGTGGGCCAATGTTTTTTTATAGTCGACATCCCCATATGTTTTAAAAATATTTCATTATTTTTTTTTTTTTATAAGTACTCTATAAAATTATATTCTTTTTATCACCTCCAAATTTAACTTCATAAAAATTTACTTTGATTCTCTTCGTTTTCTAAATTTTTGTGTTCATCCCTACTAGTATATGTAATATGTTTGTTTTTCTGTGATAATTTTCAATTGTTAACTAAAAAATCTAATTTTTACGTATTTTTTTTATATACGTGACTGTATAAATTCGAGGCTGTGTACGATTCAATGTAATTTTAGTTATTTTTATTTGATTTTTTATGTTTTCGTACTTATTTGTATATATGATTCGTCGCTTCTTATGTATGAATTGAATAACATATAATACGTTTTTGGTTATTTGAAATTTTGTTTATCAACATAAAAATATAATCTTACTTGCTTATTTTTATGTACGATTTAGTATAAATTCTAGATTTTTTACGTTTTGATGTAAATTTTACGTCTTCTTACTTGTTTATATGTACGTTTTGTACTTATGAAGGGGGGAGCCATAATTTTTTTTAGGGTATTCCTAATATATATATATATATATATATATATATATATATATATATATATATATATATATATATAGTCTGTCCATTGGTTTTGAAGACCCTATTCGAAAAGTGAAAATGGAACCCTAAATACAATTATATATATATATATATATATATATATATATATATATATATATATATATATATATATATATTTATATAATAAAAATAAATATAAAAAAGAAAAACTATAAACTAAATTCAATTAGTTAAAAATAAAATTTTGCAAATTTATAAAACATGATTGAGGTGTGAAATATGTAAAATTTGAAAACTAGCTTATCAAAAAAATTTAACTTCTAAATATTCGGGCCAAAATATAACTTTAAAACCGAAGTACTTATAAAAATCCACACCAAATGTAAGACAATGTAGTTCAACTCGCAATGTATGAGACTTACCAATTAAACTATAATTGTTTTTTAAATAACTATAATTGTTTTTTAAATAACTTTCAACTCGCAATGTATAGGACTTACCAACTAAACTATAATTATTTTTTAAATTACTTGCACCTAATCTCTAATTTCTAATTGCAAATAAAAAAAATTAAAAGTTTGAAGGTAGGCCTGGGCTTAAGCAGGTCCTAAGAGCATCTCTAACCCACCCCAAACTTCATTTCTTCTCCATTCTTCTCCAACCCTACCTCATTTTCACCTTCATTTTTAAAGATATGAATATTATTCCTCCATATATGAGGGAATACTATTTATATCTCTAAAATGGAGGTGAAATATGGAGGAATACTATTATATCTTCAAAAATAGAGGTGAAGTTTGGTTGTCAATTTTAGTCCCTCTTATTTTTATTTTATGCATTTCTAGTTTATTTTATCTACTAATTATAATTTAAATGCAATATTTGATATTTATAATATCATGTTATATATTAATTTATATTAATTAATCATAAATATAAAGTTTAATTAGTAGAGATGTGTATTTAATAATATATATATATATATATATATATATATATATATATATATATATATATATATATATATATATATATATATATAAAAGTTATAAAAATGAAATATTGTAGGAATATACTTTTTGGAGTAAAAATGGGGTAGAAAATAGAGTAATGTTAGATATGGAACACTATCTATTCAATTTTTTACTTCATTTATAGGGGAAAAAATAGAGATGGGTTAGAGATAGTCTAAGGTAGCTCCGTCCTTAGATATGAGTTTGATCACATATAAGATGTTTTAATTCAATTGTATAAACTGAAGTTAGTCACTGGTACCGACTTTCGGTGGATGTTTCCACTTGTGCTTTCCACTCTTTAACTTTATGAAACATATTTTTCAGTCATTTAGTTTGTAAAATGTCACTTTCGGTCCCTTGACTTTCCATTCTTCCACCCTTTTGTATGTATGTTTTCTAAAGTTTTGTGTTTAACTCACGTAGTATATATAATATGATTTTTCCACATTTGTCACCCCTTAATTTTTTCAAATGTCACTTTTGATCTCCTTGACTATGAACTTTATAAAATATAACTTTCAACCCCATTGACTCTTTAAACTTTCTTGTTTACCCCATCCACCAACATCTTTGTTAGTGATACTGACCTTGTCTATTTATTTTACCAACAATTGCAATGGTACTTAACTTTTATCAATACAATCGTCAAAACTCAATTTACAAAATGTCTGCTTCAACGCTCGGCAGAAAAAAAATATTAGTTTAAATAATAAATAAAAACTCAGCAGAGAGCTTAGAATAGGACAAGAAATGATACCAATTAAAGGCTATTTAAAAAAAAAAATGTTTACACATACAACCACTACTTACTCATAAATTTACATATTTTGTCTATAACCTAATTTGAACCCTCACCTTTTTTATGCCAATGCGAGACACTTATCTGCAACTCCTTCACTCCTTATACTGCCAGGGGAAGTTAATATCCTTTGTAATTAAAAACTAGTTGATTCAAATGTTTGAAGATCTTATTATTCAACAAAATATCTTTTGTCAAGCAATGTAATGAGTACGATGATCTTCTCAACATTAAAGCTAGTAGGGTCTTTTTCTGATTAATTATGAACAGAATAATAAATAAAATGATTGGAAATGCACATATTGAGACATCTAGTTTATATCATGACCAGTTAGATTCAAAGGAAAATGATAATTGTTGTTTGAATATATAAATAATTATCTAGTGTCGATTTAGTAAAAACGATTTGATTAGAATTTTCGAATCATATTATCCATAAATATGCACAAAAAATGTTAATATGTGAAGAAGTGTGTGCTTTAATCTGTTAATGACTTATCAGAATTTAAGCTGGACACCTCTAATCAAACTCGGTTACGTTTTTATTCACAGAACGACCACGAATTAGCATCCACCATTACCACACGAAGCTTGGAAAGTTTTCTAATTCCACTGGAGGATATCAACTTGGCAACCAAAAACTTCAATCACGAAACACTTATTCGGGACTTTTATTATGGTGCAGTCCACCGAGGACAGCTCATTAGCCGATGGCAAAACCAGACCATGGCCATTACCCGTTTTTATCCAAAAAACTTCCACACCGAGGACCAATTCTATAAGGAGCTTCGGATAATTTCCAGTTTTCACCATCAAAATATCTCCACTTTCATTGGTTATTGTGACGAATCCAATGAGAGAATTATAGTTCATGAACATGCATTCAACGGAAGCCTTGCAAATTATATCAAAAACTTTAGGACGACGTGTAACCTAACATGGGCACAACGCCTGAAGATTTGCATAGGAGCAGCAAGAGGACTCCAGTCCCTTCAATTGGCTCTTGGGGAAGATAACGAAGCAACTCAAGGGAACATTAACTGCGAAAACATACTGTTAGATGAAACTATGGAAGCCAAAGTTTCTTTTTTTGGTTTCTCAAAACAAGGCCCACCAGAGAGGGGACACGACCGGAACATAGGAGACATATCTAAACTATATAAATCAAACATGTACTCATTTGGCACAATAATGTATGAAATATTGAGCGGATACCGTGCTATTGAACTGCTAAACTTTGGTCAACCAGGGAAGCTAATGGATGCATTTCAGGAGTATTACCAGAACAATGAACTCGACCAATTCATTGATTGGGGTATAAGAAATGAAATTGATAGCCGCTGTTTGAATATATTTAAAGAAATTGCATATCAATGCATAATGAGAGACAATCAGAAGCCACGAACTATAATAGCCTCACATCAAAGGATGCGTCCACGTCCGCATGCAATCTTTACCATGGACTATGTCGTTGAGAGGCTTGAGGATGCAGGAGATTTCCAAGTAAGTCCTTCTCTTTAATATTACAAAAGAAATGAAAATTATAATTTGGAATTTTTGTTGGGTTTAATCTGTAGAATTTTTTATAGTTTAACCATCAAAATTTCCAATATTCATTATAAAAAAGCAAAATCTCAATATATAGTTAAACAGACATTTTTTCTTTCAACTGTTAATAGAAAGAAAGGATAATTTTTTTATGAAATATTTGTTGATAGCATCAGTGATGTAATATTTCTTGTAGTGATGAACTCCCTCTGCCCTTAAAACTCCAAAATAGACAGGTTGTTGACGGCTAATTGCTAATCTATTTTGGAACTAAAATATTAGAGATAACTATAACTATTAGTAGATGATACGTGAAACTAGCCGACAATAATAATAATAATAATAATAATAATAATAATAATAATAATAATAATAATAATAAAAAAATAATAAATAATAATAATAATAATAATAATAATAATAATAATAATAATAATAATAATAATAATAATAATAATAAAAAATAATAAATAATAATAATAATAATAATAATAATAATAATAATAATAATAATAATAATAATAATAATAATAATAATAATTCAGTCTTAAAGACATGTTATCCATAACATAGTCGTCTTTAAAATTATAGTGCATGATGTAATATTTCTTGTAGTGATTTTTATTATTAATAAACTGATACAACTATATAACAATGCATGAAACCATATAACTAAGCATCATGCTAGGTTGTAAAAGGTGGTAAATATATAAATGCATTTTACTAATTTCCAAAACCAAAGATAAGAAGAAAGAGGTTTATGGAAGGTGGAAAAGAATGTTGTGATACCAAGGGGTCAAAAATCTTAATAAACATAATTCAGTCTTATGTTTAAAAATATTACTAAACAAATTCATCTTGATTGTAGTACTCACTTTTTATTTATTTTCCAGGGAATTGAAATGTAAATGGCTAAAAAGTGATGACACATGGTTATTGTCGATGGTTAAGATGGAGGTTCATCATTTTGTCCTAGCCATATACATTTATTTCATGTTGTTTATCTTCTTTATGATTATTCTCATTTGAACACATGTTTTTTTTTCTTTTCATCAGATTGTATCTATGTAATTGTTCATACCCATATACATTTATTTTATGATGGCTATCATTCTTATAATTATTCTCATGCATATTATTATATATAGTGAGAATACTGGAATAGAAGGCGGTGTAGGCGGTGGTTAGATGTTGCTAGATGACAAAGGATTCTTCACTGGTCAACATTTATTCAATTAGATAATCAAAATTTTCTTGTAAATAAGCTTTTAAGCCTTTTAAAAGGAAAGTATCAAGTATCAATGATATTCTACTTGTCACGCATGCGCGGACACACAGTGTAACATCCCAAAAACCACAATAAAAATTTTCATTTTTAGTTAAAGTAAAATCATTGTCAACAAAAACCTAAGTCATAATAAACCAATGTTAAGTAAAAGTATTCCAAAATCAATGAATGATAATATCCCCAAAACAAGTCGCTGAAGGATGTGTACGATCATGTATTTGCTTTCCTCCGATCATCTGAAACATATCACTTAAACTGTAAACCAAACTTAGTGAGTTCCCAAAACACTAACACACAAACATATAAAATCATGCATACTGGTCCCACAACCGTCAGGTTGGATTACCTCTGAGCTGACAACATGAGTCTAGCTTGGGTTTCTAGCGCACAACTAATGTTTGGATTGCTCTCGAGCGCACAACATAATTCTGAATTGCTTTTCCGTCCCACAACTTATGTCTGGTGTGCTCTCGAGTTTGTTGGCTTCCACACAAAGCAATATTGCCTCAACGTAACCGCACTATGTCGACATATGCAACAGGTAAACATATAATGATCAAATAGATAATCATACAGATCTAACAGATCACTATAGCATAGCAACATCCTATATAACAGGATACAGAATTGAATGAGCTAGCATTGGTGCCTTCGACCCACAAGTATAGTGAGGAAACTCACTTCATAGTCTAAAAAGATAGTGTAACATCCCAAAATTTCTAGATAAAATTTTTCATTTTAAATCCATCACAGTCATATGAAAATAGTTGAAAGTATATCAAAGTAAAATAATATTAGAGTACAAATCCCAAAATCAAGTAAATGCGGAAACATGAGCGGATGCAGTGCGATCAAGTCGGACCTTTCCTTTTTGAGATGGAAGTACTCGAAACATAAACTAAAAACTGTAAACACAAAGCTTAGTACGTTTCCCCCACAATAGCCCATACCATACATACATAATAGTGAAAAACATATTGGGTCTATTTCACCCTCTTCGGTATCTTTCAACCGGTACTCGGTCTATTTCACCCTCGTTGGTATCTTTCAACCAATATTGGGTATACTTTACCCCCTTCAGTATTGTTCAACTAGTATTGGGTCTATTTCACCACCTTTTGTATCAATCAACCGGTAACGAGTCTATTTCACCCCCTCCAGCTAACACATATAATCATAACAATAAGAGTCATAGAGATATCAAGGTTATAGATACATGTCACAACCCCAAACCAGAACGGCGGAAACGTTCGGGGGCGGATGACTTCATGTGGTAATGTAACAATTGAATACATAGTAAAGAAAGCAATACAACCATCATATATATATATATATATATATATATATATATATATATATATATATATATATATATATATATATATATAATTGAAAGTTTACATTGTTAAAAGGTATATGTTCAAAACCAATTACAATATGATGCCAAAATATGAATTTAAACTGGTGCCGCAATGTCCCTTCTTCAAAACCTGTTTGTTACCTGTAATTACTGAATCCTTGGGACATACAAGTAGTTTTGAAAGTGTAGATCAACATTTAAGTTGGTGAGTTTCATAAATGAAATGTTTTTGTTCTTGTTTGTTTGTTCCTAGAAAATCCTATATTTTCTACTAGTATAAATGTAGCCTTCTTTCAAGACCAATGTTTGTTTCTAGTAAATGTATGTACGTATAAAATTTCCAATACGACTGAAAAACCCTGTAAATCATTGTGTTTTTGATACTCTATGTGAGTTTTATAACCATGCTATTGACAAGGGATGCCTATACACAACGTTCTTCAGGCGTTGGAATGTTCTGACGTTTGTCACCCCAAATGGTGGACTGTAACTAACAGTCAGGGCACGGGTTGTCAAGCCCGTATAGATCTATACACAAACACCATGCTCCCCCTCCAAGGGATTCTGGTATATAATACAGGATTTCGGCTCGAGAAAGTGGATTTCCTCGGGATTCTCGGGAATCTTGGGAGCACAAACGACCTTCGGGACTTGAGCAAAGTGATCGGGGCTTCGAGGTAGCATGGGAACGGAAAACGAGGCAATAACGCAAGAGAAATGAGAGAAATGTTGCATTTTCTTCGGAACCCTCGCATCCATTTTATAGGGGCTGACCGAGTCCTCGACTGCTTCAGAGCTCGGATGGGACGGGGCATAGCCTCGCATAGGCATGACATGGACGATCCGAGGCCAAGGCCTCGCATACGCTGGGCGTAACTCGGCCCTATCTGATGACTCCCCTTCAGATAATACCAAGGGTTTTTAATTAAAATTTATATTTTAATTATTTAATAAACTTCAAAAATTCATATCTTCTTCATATGAACTCCGTTTTCGACGTTCTTTATATCCATGCGAAGGTGAGACCATACTCTACAACTTTCGTTTAGATTTTGTTGGCAAATTTTGAAATTATTTTTATTATTTATTTTTAAAAGGTCGCGGTAACAAAATTTCTTTAGAAATTCATAACTTCTTTATCTGACGTCGGTTTTTAAAAGGAAAGAACCCGCGTCCCCATAACTCCTACTCGATACTTCACTTCCACCACCAATGTTGGTACTGTCCAGATATGTCACCAATGCGGTGAAATTGGACACCTCAAGAAGGATTGCCCGATAGCAAAGAACTCGGGTGTTGATGGGAAAATTCTCAGGATCACAGCTGTAGGAGAAACTACGTCGGACCCTCGTTAATGTATTTTAAGCGTTTCATTGTAACAAACTTATAATCCATCCAAAACTAGTGCAACTAGAGTCTTACCTTTTGCGAGATCCTGTCTGTATAGGGATGCTCGTGCTGCGTATACTTGTCTTTGGTAGTATGCCTTATTCGCAGCATTAGTCTTGTAGTAAATCTAAAGTAGTATAACTCTGTTCATGGTTACACGGTTGTTTTTTGTCTGTAAACATCTTATGTTCAAATCTAATATCTTTAAGTTTCCGTATGATTCCGACATTATCAAATAACTAGATTCAATTTGATCCACAGCATACCAGCTTCATACGTACATCTCTTCTTCGAAATCGCCTTTCCAGCGAAGCCGTCATATCAGAACACTAAAGTACTCATGCGTTGAGTACCTCTTAGTTCTTCTCTTTTCCGAAGAAATCCCCGAAGTACCACTCATACAGTACGTCAAGTTCAATCCAAAGATCCATACGTCTGATCTATCACTGAGGAATGTATACACAAGGGTAATATATAATCAAGGTTCTACAGGTTTAGAATTGATGATTCCACTTTAACTTCTTTTCCTCGATAGGATGTGAGCTTAAAGAAGAATTAGTTATTCGACTATCTTTTCAATCTTAGTTATATACAACTCGTATACCCGAGATGGTGATCGTTGAACCAAGTATGGATTCTAACATGAACTTCAGGACGGAGAACTGCCCAAGACTACGAGTAATCGCATCATCATGTGAACAAACTTAGAACCCAGTACGACTCTTGTAAACCGATCGCCCTACAGTCTAAACACCTACGGAGATACAAGAACAGTCTGGACAACTTAGTGACCCATGCAGAAATAGAATTGGAAGACTAGGCTTCTCACCCTGGAGAGCTCCAGTCTTATTCTTCTAGAGGTAAACGGATTGCATCATATGTGCCTCGGCAATCAAGGGCTCCATCCAGATTTTTCCCTTAGAAATTGTTGTCTTTTCCTCGCATAGATGAATCGGTTGAGCAAATGCAAGGAACGAGTTACTTTTCAGAAATGGAGCGAGATCTGAATATCAGCAGTTTCGAGTGTTAGCGAAGGATGTCTCGAAGACTACCTTCCGAACTCGAGGCGGACACTTCGAGTCCGTAGTGATACCCCTCGAATAGGACCAATACGCCTAAAGCATTCATGAGTTTAATGAATAGAGTATGTCTTTCTTACTTGGATCAGTTCGTCATTCTCCATGTAACGACTTACTGATCTACCCTCATAGTAAGAAGGAACCCGCAGAAACATTACCCTCGGAGATACTTTTCGCAAAGTTCTCTAAAACGCAAGTTTTGGAATTGGAGAGTCAAACTCCAAAGGCACACTATTAGTGATGTTGAAATCCTTGAGTACTCTGTCTATTTATCAAAAACTGCTGGGAATTGGTCGGCACCGAAGACGCCGACAAAAATTCGCCAAATACTAGGTCTTACAGACCTACTTTAATAGTTCATCCAGAACTCCTCGCATATTACAGAAACCTTTACGAATTTGACCCAACAAGGGGTGGCCCTTGACTGGGAAGATATAAAAGAAAGAGAAACCTTAGAGATTCCAAGTGAGAGACCAAGTTCTTTAGGAAAACTCTCTCTGGGAATGCTTAATGCGCTTTGTAAAGCATGGAAAGCTAAATCCAAGACATTCAGGACCTCCGAGATTTTTACCAGAATCGGTCCTATATCTCACAGACTAAACCTACTCCGCGAACTCAATACCGTACATTTTACTCTTCGCGTCTCGATCTTGAAACCATACCTTTCCGTTAGGACTCTTGTAAGCCCGCTCGACGATATCGAGATTAAGAAGATCCTCACCTTCGTATTAGAACCGTAGTGACCCTCGACCGAGTGGTCAAGCGGACGAAGCAGTGTTGCCTCCCTATAGTGAAGGTTCGTTGGGATACCACCCGAGGATCCGATTTCACTTAGGAGCGCAAGAACCAATCGATTAGGAAGTTACCCAACTCTCGACTCAATCATTCATACATACTTCCTACTTCCTTACTTACTTCATACCTACTCGATCCTTCATACCTACTTCCTTACCTAAATTCTAATTTCACGATGAAATTCCCTCTAACAGG